AAATCCCTGAGCTTAAATACCTTGAGAAGCGGGTGCAGTTCTGTGCTCGCTCTATTGTAATGACATTATACAACTTGAAAGGGTTAGAGAAGGGCAGCCAGGGGGATCAGATGGCTCCTGGGTGAGGCCTTGGCTGTTCAGGCTGGAAAAGGGAGAGCAGCGGGAGGAGGGTGGGACACAGGTCTGTAAAATCCCGAGTTGGGGGAGAGGGTGGGTGGGAATTGCAGTCTCTGAACCAGCGCGAAGGGCCGTCGTGTGTTCCAGTGGGAGCTGGGTTCAGCCCGATGGGAGGTGGTAGATCTTGGTGGAGTTGAGCCATGTGGCACTGTAAGTGCCTAAAATCTACAGGAAGTGAGCAAATGATGAGCCATGTTCGTGGAAGGAAAATCCCCTGAGAGCTGTTAAGCATGAACACAACAGCCTCATCTCAGGAAGTCTCTGAATTGTGGGTTGCTGGAGGCTGGGAGAGTTTGGGGGCAAGTCTTGCTACCGGCTTGTTGCGATTATGTCTCCCCCACCTCGCACCTCATTTTTTTTGGGTGGGGGTCTTGAGCTGTCGCTGAAGCCCAGTACCTCCACGCAGGTTTGACAGCAACGCCTCAGCCAGCTCCTCCAGCGGTGATGGCGACAGTGACCGGGACGAGAAGAAGCCAGCCAAGAAGGCCAAGATTGTCAAAGACCGCAAGCCCCGCAAGAAGCAGCTGGAGGTGAGAGGTTGCTGCTGGCAGGTTGTGGAGAGCAGGACCTGCGCCTGGAGCTTGGGTGGTTGTTCTCTGTTGGGAGCAACACCGGGGAGATGCGGGTCACAGACCATCAACTGAGCTGCTTCACCTCAGCCTTCTGCCACAGGCTGATCTGGTGCCACCGTCTCGCTGTGCTTTTCCCTGGCTGGGTCAGTTGTCCAAGCCCCTCTTCGCTGCCTCCTGCAGACGATTCTTGGTTGAGTCCCTTCCAAAGGGTGCATTGTGCCTGCACCTAGCCCGTCCTTTTGGTTGTTGGAGGACTTGTCTCCAACAGCCTGCCCTTTCAGCTTTTGTGGATGTGACCTGACAACCCACCTCCCCTGAGGGTGTAGCTGAATTGCTGGGGGGGGTGTAGGAGGCAAGCTGAGACCCAGCCCCTTATCCTGGGGCAACCCCAGGTCCTGAGGTCTTCTGTGAGTGGTGCGTTTGGAGGCTTTCACGCTTGTTGTCTCCGCTCCCTGCCTCCTAGAGCAAGAAAGGGAAAGACCCCAACGCTCCCAAGCGGCCGATGTCAGCGTACATGCTCTGGCTGAACGCCAGCCGTGAGAAGATCAAGTCAGACCATCCTGGCATCAGCATCACAGACTTGTCCAAGAAGGCTGGGGAGCTCTGGAAAGCCATGTCCAAGGAGAAGAAAGAGGTGAGGGACAGGTTGTCTGGGTTGCTCTGCTGGTGGGGGGAGCTAAGCCTGGTCTAGGAGGAGCTGGACCTGAGAAGGCCTGGCAGGCTCTTGCTTGGTCTCGGGAACCCTGGTGCTCCACAGGCGGTTGGTCGGGAGGGGAGTGCGGCAGTGGGGAGGTGATGTCTTTGGGCTGGTGAGCTGTTGGGTGAGCATAGGCTTGATCCAAGGTGGTGAGGGACGCGGTGGGAGTGCTGGCGTGGGGCGGGTGGAGACAGTGGTGGGCTGTGGCGGTGGGCGTGGTGGTGGGGAAGGAGAGAAGGCCCCACTAAGCTTGCGCTCTTGCTGCAGGAATGGGATCGCAAGGCGGAAGATGCCAGGAGGGACTACGAGAAGGCCATGAAGGAGTACAGCGTGGGCAGCAAGTCGGAGAGCTCCAAGATGTGAGTGCAGTGAGCAGAGAGGGCTGGTGGGGTGGGAGTGACAGGGCTTCACCCCTCCAGAATTCAGCTTTTCCCCAGCCATCGTAGTGCCTGGGACTCTCCAGGGCTGGGGGCTGTGCGGAGAGCATCCTTGGCTCTGCGGTGCCAGAGATGGGGCTGGGGGGCTGTCAGCAGGGTAACACTTCTCCTCGCCTTTCCACCCTCCCAACTCACATGCAGGGAGAGGTCTAAAAAGAAGAAGAAGAAGCAGGAGAAGCAGATGAAGGGGAAGGTGGAGAAGAAAGGTGCTGCCTCCAAGTCTTTGGCTTCCACCAAGTCCCCTGCCAAGAATATGAGCGAGAGCTTCAAGAGCAAGGAATTTGTCTCCAGCGACGAGAGCTCCTCTGGAGAGAGCAAGAAGGAGGTAGGGCTCTTGGGTGGTTGGGGCAGTCTCCTGGCCCATCTTCCCTGAGGAACGCCCCGTTTGTCTCTCTGGAAGGTGGCCTACTCGTCCCGTTCCTGTAGGGGCTGGGACCCTCCGGTACCTCTTGTCTGTGGTACGCTGGTCACATCCCTCTGGGTGTGGGTGGCCTGTCTGTGTGCTACACATGTCCCCAGGTCACCATGTCCCTGCTGTGGGGCACCGGAGAGGCAGGGGAACGGGAGCTGCTGCCCTGACCTCACCCCCTGTCCGCAGGACTCGGAGGAGGAGGGAGTCGCCAGCCTGCCCCCCAGCTCGGAGGAATCCGCATCCGGCTCGGATTAGCGCTGGCTCCAGGCTGGTTCCCAGATCGGCGAGAGGACTGGGCGGGCCGGCCCCGCGGCAGGGACCCCGGTGTTGGG